CGCGGGGGCCGCGCCTCCCCGACTCCAGGGCCGCGGCCGGCGCACGGGCGGGTGGGCGAGCGGCCCGGCCGGCTAGGTCCGCAGCGTGCCCTGCGTCCCATGGATATAGCAACAGGTCCCGAATCGCTGGAGAGGTGCTTTCCCCGCGGGCAAACGGACTGCGCCAAGATGTTGGATGGCATCAAGATGGAGGAGCATGCCCTGCGCCCCGGGCCCGCCACTCTGGGGGTACTGTTGGGTGAGTGCGGGGTCCGACGCTCAAGTGGGCAGGGGACAGGGGCGTCGTCTCGCAGTCGACACAGATGTTGAGGCCAACAGATAAAAGAGATGAATTTGCAGCGCAAGGGGAAGAGAGGACAGGAACAGGACTCCAAGGGTGATCACCAGGGGGGTAACAAGCACACCTAAGCGGTCTCCCAGAGGGCACGGCATGTGGGTGGACATGCCTCAGGATGAGCAAGGACAGGACAGCGCTAGACGCCAGACGCCGACCTCACCCGGCCTAGGTTCTGGAGCTGCTGCTCCCGCCCGGCAGGGATAGGAAGCGAGTGGCAGAATGATAGAAAACCCAAGTAGTCACCTTCACCACCCTGGGGGAGGTCCTTGGTCACCTGGGAAGTGGGGGGAGCCTCTAGGAGAAAAATGTCCCCTAGGCTATCCAGACCACAGTTTTGGGGGGAAGACTGGGGACAGCAGACTACCGATCGCCACCGCGGGGCGTGTCAGCAAGTGAGTGCCTCAGCCTCACCTCGCCTGTTTGGGTCCCAGCCGGCTGCCCCACACTGCAGATTAACACCAAGTGCTGAATCTCCGGAAAAGGGGACAGCGCAGCGAGGGCCGCGGCTGTCCGTCTGGGATCCTACAGTCTGAGACGTACTGCCGAGGGCTGCCGGGCCCCTGGCGCGGCGGCCCGAGAAAGGGAGCAAAGGCGGCGGGCGGCGCTCCCGGACCACCCTTGCCCTCGAGGCCTGGGACTGCGGGCACTGCGCACTCGCCCGGAATGCTGGGCCGGGCCGGGCCAGGCGCCACTGACGGCCGGCTCTCGCTCTGTGCGCTGCAGGCTCCGACTGTCCACATCCCGCCGTCTGCGAGGGCTGCCAGCGGCCCATCTCCGACCGCTTCCTGATGCGAGTCAACGAGTCGTCCTGGCACGAGGAGTGTTTGCAGTGCGCGGCGTGTCAGCAAGCCCTCACCACCAGCTGCTACTTCCGGGATCGGAAACTGTACTGCAAACAAGACTACCAACAGTAAGCGCCTCTCGTCCTACTCCTTCCCTGCTGCCCAGCACTGTAGCCGGGCCAGCCCCTTGCCGGGCAGGGCCCACACCACACACCATCGCTCTGAATCAGGCTCTGCGTTCCTCTGGGCCACGGCAGTTCTTAGGGCTCCGCAGGCAGCATGTTGCAGGGCTGGACCACACTATCCTATCTGGCTAGCGCTGGCCTCTCCGTGCCATTGATTTTCGGGGAAATCTACACTGGACTACTGAGTTGGGGCACAAGACAAGGCCCTGGGCCAACTGGCGAGTATGATTCCTGAGTCCTGGGGTCTGGATTTGGCCCCACTGAGGTCTGAATAGAAACTAAAAATTGATTTTTAAAGGCAGGTAGTGCTTTAAGGGACAAGCCTGAGGCTGTTCTTTTCCAGCTCAAGAGTGGCTTTGGGTTTCCTGGAGCAGGAAAATCATGCCCTGGGCATCAACCTACCTTAGCAGTTAGGAACCCCTTTCCAACAGGCTCCCTTGTGCACTTTTAGTCCCTGATGCCGAGAAATGAGTCCCATATTCCCCAAACCGTTCCATGCGGGAAGTTTGCAATTATAATTTTTTTTCACTGGTGAAGCAGTTTAGGAAGATTTTAAAACGGCAAGTTGCAGCCTAAAACTCACAATGAAGGTGCAGAACAGAGTCAGTCAGCCCTCTTGGACCACCTCTTCTTGCAGTGTGTGTTGGAGAGCGGCCGCTCTCTCTGACCAAAGGTTGAGCCTTACCTGCTGCCTGCTATGTTTCGCCGTGCCTATGGATTTGTATGGCAAGAAGTCTGGGACAGATGAGAATAGATGCAGACTTTTTTTCTTTTGACCTGCTGGGTTTTGTGCCTGGCAGTACAGTTGGGAGGATGGCAGGAGCAACAGCCGAGGGAGGGGCATGGGGGTCCCCAGAGCGGCATTATAGGAATGGCTGTGTGTGTGAGAACTTTTCAGTGGTGCCCAGAAAATATCTTGGATAGGGTGGTAGGGTGGGGAGATGGTGGGTGATTTGGGGCTGAGAGAGGACTGTGTGCGCCCACACCTCCAGGAGCAGGCTGGGTCGCCTGTGGTGAGTGATGAATGCAGCCTCCCTGCTGTGCCCAAGGAGTATCCCCAAATCCAGGGTCCTGTGAGCAGCAGAGAAGACCAGCAGTTAGCTTAGCTGAGGCTGTGTGACCTCAACCGACCGCCGGCCTGAGCCCAAGAGACGGCATCTGGTTCTGCTGGAAAGGTGCTGGCTCTGTCCTCCTGGTGTGAGGAAGCGCAGAAGCTGCTTTTTGCCCCTTGCTTTCTGTTGGCTGGGGGTTCTGTGGGCAGGGGTTGGGGTCCATTCAGATGATCAGCTCTTTTGCTGGTCCTGGAACACAGCTGACAGTGGCCTCTCCCGCTGTGTGAAGTGGTATCCAGGACTGCCGTGGTTCTAGTTTGGGGAGAGAGAAAGGCCACCAGTCAGTTTCCGTGCAGCAGGGCATAGAACAGCACAAATGAATTAGGGTCCATGTGGCTGTGGGCTTTGGGCAGGCCAGGGTACATGTGATAAGGTACACCAGCCTCCAGCCCATCCACACCCTGCACCCCTGGCCCTGCTGTGCCTGCCTGACCCCAAGCTTTGCTCTGGCAGTGCCACTTATCACCCAGCTCAGCCAGTGGCTTCAGCAACTCAACACGTGAGGCTAAGAGGCCGGGCAAACTAGAAACAGGCCTCTGAAATATTTGTGTAGCTTTAATTTTTTTTTTCTTTTTTGTCCAAAAGACTCTCTCCAAACTCTTGTACAAATTTACTCCCTAATCATTATAGGGCTTCTCTTTAAAAGAACTCAAGCATGCCCTCCTGGTCATAGAGGCACAGAGGCGAGAAGTCGCAACATCTGAGCTTAGATGTTGCCTTAGAGGTGGAGGACTGACCCCCCTCATTTTACAAAACAATTCAACATTTGCAACGGCTTTGTCCAGTGTACATTTGCTTTTAAAAGACAACAAAACCTCTGCAGAGAGCCTGCTGCTTCTGTGCAATTGTGTACGTTGAGAATGAATTTTGTGGTAGGGTGAATCTCACGTCCTGTCACTTAGAGTCTGGGCCCCGATGTGGCTGAAGCCCCGGAGGGGGGCAGAGGGGAGTTAGGGGGCAGCACTATTCTTTCTACTCTAGTTTCCTCCTCCTCCCTGATCCCCCCTTTCTTGTAGTAATGCCAATTAGGTATCTTCACTAGGCTGGCCAGCAGGGTAGTAGGCTACGAGTTATCCGCACAGTTTGGGGGACAAATCCCACAGTGGTCCCAGGCACCATTTCCTGGGGAGCAAGCGAAGCCAGGCAGACAAGCGCTCCCTGGGAAGCAAATGTTCTTTACACAATAAGAATTTTTTTTCATTCACAATTTTTTTCCTTTAAGAATCGAACATGCATATTTATTTCATCTGTGTGCAAATGCTTTTCAGCCGAGAATTAAATCAAGTGGGCACAGAAACGTGCCTTCTACATTCTGTCTAGTTTGTGTGTCAGCGGCATTGGGAAATTAACACCCCCCAACTTTTAGAAAAAATAAATGTGACCTCACCCGGTTGTAGGAGGGTGGTAAGAGCTCCTCGGGGTTATTCCTTAAAGGTTGCCATTTTTAGTAAGTGTCTCTTCTTCCTTTCGATTTGATCTCAAAGATCTAGGCACCCAGATGTGTAGTTATTTTACGCACCATGGGGGTGATTAATTGACGTTTGGACACATTTAGTAGCATTAGATAAAATCCACCCTTACGTCTGTAGTTGAGCAAAACAGATCATGAATTGTGTGTTTGGGCATTTTCACTGGTAACTCGAAAAGTCTCCTCCCTGCATGGTTTGTTTGTGGGATTTCTTTTTGCGGTGGGTGGGGGGGTTCTAAAAAACAAAAACAAAACAGCCACTGCCTTCGCTCCTTGAACGAAAACCCGGTTAGAAACCAGGAGGATACATGGCTTCTGCGAATTCTTGAACCTCCATGTCCTCCACCACAGAACAGACAGAAAAACAAAACAACAACAAAAAGAATGACAACATCCCCTCCCCAATTTGTTTTCTTGGAGGTTTAGCCAAATTGAATTATGTAACTCTCTTCTTGCTGTCTGTCGCTGTTTGGAAAGGGTTTCTATCCTGAGGAGGTGGCGATTCCTAGAGGAGGCTCCGGAAGCGGGGAGGGCCGGTGGGAAAGTCCAAAAATCTGTCACAAAATGGAGTCTAATCGCTTGTAATACAGCTCCCAGGTCTGGCGACCCAGAGCTCAGTGCTGTACAAGCGAGAGCCTTTGTGTAAGAGTGGGGGAACGCGGGCTCCTGCCTGGGCATCCAAGGCTGAGGCTCCTTTCTGCTCTGGGCACCCAGCGGCAGCAGCTCCCACTCCCGGGGCTGCCCTGAGCCTGCCTGCTCCCCTGGCCAGGTAGAATGCTGCCACTGCCACCGTGGTGGGAGACGGTGTTGAGGCTGGATGGGAGTTTCACAAAAAGCCTTCTAAGTCCGGGGGTGGTTTTCAAAAAAATTTCCCCAGCTGGCTGTGGCTGCAGTGGCCCAACCATACTCTTCCTAGCACATTCCTTTCCTTGAAAGTGTTTACACCGGCAAAGGCCTTCCTGGGAGGCTCACCTCGCACCGGCCCTGAGCCGGGAGTGTGGTTGTGGCACTGGAGGAACAAAGCCAGGCTGAAACCTTTCCCAGCTACTGCTACAGTTGCCAGCTTATAGGCCTACAGCAGCATCACCTTCCCAGCAGATACCTAGCCCAGCAGGGACCCTCAAAGCACTAATTCAGGGCTACAGGCATCAGTGCCCACAGCTTGGGATAGAGAATCTGTCTTAGACCAATCTGCTTTGGAGAAGACAAGACTTTGCCTTATAAGAAGGCATCTGGGATGCCCGCTCTCCCTGGAAACTGAGCCTGAAAAACTCACTGGGCTAACACAAGTCTGGGACCCTCTGGCCCCATTGAAAGGTGTCTCTCCGTTTCACCCCAGCACCTTGGCCATGGGCAGGAGGGTAGGCAAAGGCCACCCTGATGCTGCAGTCGTCTGCTGCTGAACGGAGGCATTATTCACGGCAACTCCTGCTCACCCTCTATTCCCCAGGCTCTGGGCTGGTGTAGCCTTATTTGTTTGCTGGATTTTTCTCAAGTGGGGGAAGCACGCTATGAGGATCTGCTTTGGAGTATGTGATTGGTGACATTCAGTGACTCTCAGCTCTCTCCAGTGCAGAAGCCAAGTTTAGGGACGCACAGCTCTGGCACCTTATGATCCTCTTCTATACAATGTGAACCAAATACCTGGAAGAAAGTATTCTTATAGAGACTCCAGACAAGGTGCCCCAAAGGAGCTGGCATCTTGCCTGGAATGTTATTAACACTCTGGAAATTATTGTTACATTGTTGCCATCATCAGAGCAGGGGGATGTCTTGTCCCTAAAGACAAGGATTGCCGACTGGTTCTCTCCCCAGGTGCAGCTAGCATGCTGGGCTTGCCATGAGCTCTCTCTGTAGGGAAGATGTAGGGCAACCCTGGGGTAACCATTCCCTGAGCCTGCTAGGATATTGTGAGGGTCCTGCCTTCTTCAACCACCAAAGAGCATGAGTCCAAGCAGGCTCCCCCCAGCCCGCTGTTGATCTCACTTCACTGGCTGCCTATCCTTAAGCATCAGTTCTCTATGGTCAAACCAGGGAGGATGGCATCGCACTTGGGGTGGTTGTGCAGATTTCATTTCGAGGGGCACCTGGTAGAGCTGCAGTAAAGATTTCATTCTCTAAGAGATCCTTTGCCCTCTTTTGCACCTCAAGAGAGATGGAGAAACTTCTGATCGTGACAGCGAGCTCAAGTGCCAACAGCACATTTGTTAGCAAGAAGGGCAGGCAGCCGCAGCCGGCGGGACTGGGGCACCGCTCTGCTCCTCCTAGGGGAAGGGAGGTCGGCCCAGAGCAACAATATTTCCACTAGGGAACAATTGCATCTCCAGGGTCTACATATTGCTAGGAAAATATAACCAATAATA